CTGTTAGGTTGCTTTGCCGGGATAATTTGTTTTTTGTTCCCAACCCTCCTTGGTTGGGTATTCGTTTTGAATAGAGGGGTGTGGTCGCGTCCTCCTCCTCCCGCCCGCCCCTGTGGTCGCCGTCCCTGGGGGGCTGCGACCTGCGAAACTGTCGCCACTTTCGAGGGCTGCTGGTGGGTCCAGCGGAGTGAGGGACCGCGCAGATCTGAGCGGGACCCCGCCGTCCCTGGGGGGCTGCGATCTGCGAAACTGTCGCCACTTTCGAGGGCTGCTGGTGGGTCCAGCGGAGTGAGGCACCGCGCAGGTCTGAGCGAGACCTCGCCGTCCCTGGGGGGCTGCGATTTGCGAAACTGTCGCCACTTTCGAGGGCTGCTGGTGGGTCCAGCGGAGTGAGGCACCGCGCAGATCTGAGCGAGACCTCGCCGTCCCTGGGGGGCTGCGATCTGCGGAACGGTCGCCACTTTCGAGGGCTGCTGGTGGGTCCTGCGGAGTGAGGCACCGCGGGGATCTGAACGGGACCTCGCCGTCCCTGGGGGGCTGCGATCTGCGAAACTGTCGCCACTTTCGAGGGCTGCTGGTGGGTCCTGCGGCCAGAGTGAGGCTCCGCGCAGATCTGAGCGGGACCCCGCCGTCCCTGGGGGGCTGCGATCTGCGAAACTGTCGCCACTTTCGAGGGCTGCTGGTGGGTTCAGCGGAGTGAGACACCGCAGGGATCTGAGCGGGACCCCGCCGTCCCTGGGGGGCTGCGATCTGCGAAACTGTCGCCACTTTCGAGGGCTGCTGGTGGGTCCAGCGGTGTGAGACACCTCGCAGATCTGAGCGAGACCTTGCCGTCCCTGGGGGGCTGCGATCTGCGGAACGGTCGCCACTTTCGAAGGCTGCTGGTGGGTCCAGAGGAGTGAGGCACCGCGCAGATCTGAGCGGGACCTCGCCGTCCTTGAGGGGCTGCGATCTGCGAAACTGTCGCCACTTTCGAGGGCTGCTGGTGGGTCCAGCGGAGTGAGGCACCGCGGGGAATTGAGCGGGACCTCGCCGTCCCTGGGGGGCTGCGATCTGCGACACTGTCGCCGCTTTCGAGGGCTGCTGGTGGGTCCTGCGGAGTGAGGGACCGCGGGGATCTGAGCGGGACCTCGCCGTCCCTGGGGGGCTGCGATCTGCGAAACTGTCGCCACTTTCGAGGGCTGCTGGTGGGTCCTGCGGAGTGAGGCACCCCAGGGGATCTGAGCGGGACCTCGTCGTCCCTGGGGGGCTGCGATCTGCGGAACGGTTGCCATTTTCGAGGGCTGCTGGTGGGTCCTGCGGAGTGAGGCACCGTGGGGATCTGAACGGGACCTCGCCGTCCCTGGGGGGCTGCGATCTGCGAAACTGTCGCCACTTTCGAGGGCTGCTGGTGAGTCCTGCAGAGTGAGGCACCCCGGGGATCTGAGCGGGACCTCGCCGTCCCTGGGGGGCTGCGATTTGCGACACTGTCGCCACTTTCGAGGGCTGCTGGTGGGTCCTGCGGAGTGATGCACCCCAGGGATCTGAGCGGGACCTCGTCGTCCCTGGGGGGCTGCGATCCGCGACATTGTCGCCACTTTCGAGGGCTGCTGGTGGGTCCTGCGGAGTGAGGCACCGGGGGGATCTGAGCGGGACCTCGTCGTCCCTGGGGGGGCTCTGGAGAGCTGCCGTAGGATACGTTAGGCGCAACGGGCGCATGGCACAGCCAACGGGGGTGATTTGTGAAACAGACCATCTTCCGGGCGATGGCCATAACGTTGCGCCTACACGCATCCCGCGGGGGCTCTCAAGAGCTGCTGTGGGATACGTTGGGTGCAACGGGCGCATGGCACAGCCAACGAGGGTGATTTGTTATTACGTAGCCCTTAGATCTTGATCGGGGTCCTGCGAGCCTTCCGATTGCTGCTCGCAACGTTACATGCGTCCATGTTACGTCATCGCCCCCGTTGTGGCAATCCTGATGTGCTTATGCCCCGCATTGCGCAAGGGTTGGGTAAGTCGCCAGGGTATTTTTGTTTGTTGTTATATATATACACACATATATTTAAAAGAAAAAAGAAGTAAGGAACAAACCCTGGCTGTTGTAATGGCATCCAGCCACTGCCGCCCATCCAGTGGGGCTGGATAGTTGCGCGCCAAGGGAGTGTGAGGCGGCAGCAGGCTCTTCCTTTCTCGCCCATATTGTCTGTCTGTCTGTCTGTCTGTCTGTCTGTCTGTCTGTCTGTCTGTCTGTCTGTCTGTCTGTCAGTGCGTATATATGTATGTATGCATGTATGTATGTATGTATGCATGTATGCATGCATGCATGCATGCATGCATGTATGTATGTATGTATGCATGTATGTATCTAGATACACAATTACATCCATCCATTCTGTATGTATGTATGCATGCATGCATGCATGCGTGCATGTGTGTATGTAGGTACGTATGCATGCATGTATGTATGCATGCATGCATGCATGCATGCATGTATGTATGTGTATGTATGTATGCATGC